CCCCAAGCTTGCCACTAATTGCCTACATTACTGCGACCGCAAATTCCAGGTTTCTTATCTGGCGAAGTATGCAGCTGGCGTTGACGAAAAAGCGCAGGTCTCATTTACCCACACACTAAATGTTCCTCACACCATTGATGCTCATGTTCACTCACTCGTAAACCAGAAAATTTCTGGCCAGGCACTGAAGTCATCGAAGAAGCACTCAACTTCGTTAGCACGAGAAATTCCCCTCACTGAGATGATCTGGTTCTGCGCTGGCCTACCGTATGTCACTTATCCAACGGATATCACACATGTATCAACCATGCCACCTGAGTACCGCTATGCAATTGTCAAACGTCAGGGAATGGTTACACGAGTTGCTGGTGGTGGTGGCCAGCTCCTACCTGTTGAGGCTCGGCATGGTTTGCCTGAATGGCGAAGGTTTACCCACTCTCAAGAACTCACGATGCAAGACTATGCCAGAGGGACATACTATATTGACGCAACCACAGGATTTTCACTGCGTCCCCCAGAGCTGCTGATCTTTGACAATGTCGAACATTATGTCAAATGGTTTACTTTCAAATCCTTCCCACGTCATCAGCAATACGTTGCTGATGACAATCTCGATGCTTGTTTGTGGATCGATGGTGCTTGTCGGCGGATTAAACTACGCCATGCGCATGTCTCAGATGCTTGCCAGTATGTCATTGGCTTGCTGGCCGACCCTAATATTCCAACACTCAGCAGGCTGAACACCTACACAATGCCATATTTCACCGGCTTGAACACGAACACAATACCCACCAACACGAAGATGACTACTCACAGCTATACCTTAGATTTGTCGATGTGTCAAAAACCAAGAGAAATGTTGTGGTATTTACACAAGTCACCCCAACAGTGTTTTCTCGCTTTCTCATTCATCTGATGTTGTCCATGGGGAACTTTGTTACCGAGATTGATTTGTACAGCTCGCCGACAATGCTTCAAGCATTTCAGAAGTGTCGCCTCATTAGCCAAGACCATCGACAGAACAAGACGTCAAGCGCCTTGCACGCAAGTACGTCGAAGAACAGCTACAGTGGCTCTCTATAGGCACTCGTCGATTCTCTCAACTGCTGCAGGCTTTAGTTGAAGGCTTACAGCGCTTTCTTCTTGAAGGACAACTCGTCTATGACTCATTACCTCTATATCTGCAGCGTGCCATGGAGGAAAACGCAACTGATCAGGTTGCAAAGTTACAACAGATACGACGGGCCACAACGGTTGATGCATTATTCCATGAGCTTCACAACACAGTGCCTGCATTTCCAGCGTGTGAACAGCTCAAAGTGCAACAGGTCGTGCCTTTCACTCCACGCATATCTCGGGCAGACGAGCAATCTGATGCATCTCTCGATGAACAGACAGCAGCACTGCAAGACTGTATTATGGCCATTGATGAACTGTTTCAGCCACAGACGACATTTGCGCACTCCCCGTTATTAGTTGGTCCACCAGGTTGTGGCAAAACACATATTCTTCTCATTGCACAAACATATGCACTGTCAAAAGGCCTGAATGCGCAGTTGGTTGCAATCACATCAGAACGAGCTAGAAGGCTTGGTGGTGAACATATCCACTTGCTCTTTAATATCCCTATATTAGACGCCAAGCGCCATACAATTTCGACGATGGCGGAAACAACACTTTTCCGTCTTCTGCATTCACCTATCAGACTGGCTGCCTTACAGAGAATTGATGTGCTTGTCATTGAAGAAATAGGACTTGTGTCAGCAGAAATCTTTGCAGTGATGGATCTTGTGTTACGCTACATCAGAGACAGTCCTGTACCAATGGGTGGTGTACTTGTCCTCGCCTGTGGTGATCCACGACAACTGTCACCCGTATCTGGATCGCCAATCTGGTCGAGCTACCATCTCATTGCGACATTCCGTGTATCCTGCTTAATACATTACGTTCGAGCTCAACGCGACCCACAGTTACAGACCCTCCTCAAACTTCTTCGCAAGGGCAACATCACAGACGAGGAAATAGAGCAGTTTGCAGGTATTGTCCGCGAGAATAGCATTCCTCAACGCTGTGTAGCACGGTGGGACGATGTTCCACCTCATGTTTTGCGAGTTGTTGGTACACGAAAAGCCAGTCAACACATTGTAAATGAATTTCTTCAGCGCAAGATCACAGACCCAACCGTCGACTGTGTGACGTATTTGGCCAACGACGAAATCGAAACAGCAGGTGGTCAAGTGCGTGACGCCAATGAAGACACCAAGCGCCAACTCAACTACAAATGTCAGGAGCCATCTTCTCTGATTATCTTCGTCGGAGCTGTCATGCGGCTCACGTATAACAACATCAACGAAACGCCATCAGTGCCACGCTTTTCACAGGGCCAATTGTGCGTTGTCGAAGCTCTTGCTCGTAGCGACCAAGTCGCTAATGCGCAAAAGATCACTGTGAAATTAGTGCCCCCAGGTGTGCGGTCTTTCGACGTGGACAATCTTCCCGCACATTGGAAACAGTTTCGTGTTAAAAGGCGACCAACACAACCAATTGTTGTAGGCCCACAAAGGACGAAAGCATGGCGAAAACAGTTTCCACTCTGTTACTTTGTCTGCACTACAATACACAAAGCTCTTGGTGAAACTCTTCCATCTGTTGCAACTCAGTTGAGCTTGAAATGGAGGTACGGGGGGGGGTATGGGATTTGTCATGGGCTGTATGAACGAGTTATCAGCAGAGAATGCAAATGAAATGTATTTGTAAAAACTAGTCTGTGATTTTTTTATGGTATCTTTTTTGTAATCCTATGTAAATTAAATCATTTTAAGAGTGTCATAATATCTATTTCACTGCAATTTTTGTCTAATCTACAATTATATTTCACATAAATTCAAGGTGCTGCAGTACCAAGAACCAGGGGGTAGATTCATCAAGCTGCGTACGCAAAATATTTTGCGTAAATCTTGTGTACGCAATCGACGTTGCTTAGTTGCAATTCATCAACACAGTTATTTAGTAGATTTGCGTACGCATTCGCGTACGCAATCGAGGCCGTTTTAGGTGCGATCCATCAAGCTAACATTCACGTAACTTTACACGAGCTGACGAGGTGCCGTAAACCACTTTGCACGTGTTTCCTGCATACCGCAGCATGCATTATTTTATTGAGAAAACATAAAATGACTACTAAGTAAAAATACATCAATAATTACCTTACTACACAGACAGGCGGCGCCTTTGGCGCTTCTTTTGTCACAGCCAAGGAGCTATATATACACAGTTAGGCGTCGTTTTCTTTTGTCACAGCCAAGGAGCTATATATAGACAGTTAGGCGTCGTTTTGTTTTGAAACATGGCAGCATTTTTGGGTTTAAGAGATGGAGAAGAAAGGAGAGCAATACCTAGAGTAATGGTGTTTCGAGATCGGGTAAATCCTTTTGATTTACCTGACCATACTTTGTTCAACCGATATCGATTTCCACGTCACGTTTTGCTAGATTTAGCAAATGAAATCTGTCCGGTGTTGGATCTACCAACGGAGCGAAAGATGGCCACCCCAGCAATAACTCAGTTATCTGTTGCACTGAGCATTCTTGCTTCGGGTAGCTTTCAACGAGGCATGGCCGAGCTACACGGAGTATCACAATCGACAGCTAGTCGGTGCTTTAATCGAGTCTTGAACGCGATCATACGAACGAAAATGCGGACAACCATCACATTCCCCAGCACGGCTGTAGACAGAGCTAGAGTGATGAGAGAATTCAGTGAGGTACGTACATGATACATCTAGCACTAGCCAAGCAGTTCAGGACGTACCTACTTGTTGAATTAATAAGTATCTAAACATCATAATTATGGTTCATTTCGCGCAAATCCAAGCATTTATCATAAACATGTTTTTACACATTGTTATGGCTATTAAGCCTATGTAGTACATGTAGTCTACATGTATGCAATTGCTTGTGAAGGTTGCAGGTTTTCCTAAAGTGTTAGGAGTTGCCGTGCGTGGGAACGAACAGGACGCTATATCTGGAAGTACATTCAGTATAGCCCAGAACAGCCACTTGGACATGTCAAGTGTGCGTGGATGCGATACGAGTTCCAGAGTGCAGGGGCTTTAGGAAACCGACCGCACATCCATGGAGGTGTCACGCTGTATCCGGAGCCAGAAATAGTTTCACTTCAGCAGATCAGATGTTCGTTGCAACACATGTTCACAGTAAATGCGAAGACTGATATGGCTACCTTGATTGGAGGAGTCATTGAAAGCGAACATGAATTCTACCGTTTATATTGTCTAGCAAACCTACTGCAAACACACAGCTGTGCCGACGCTGATGCAAGATGCCAAAAGAAACGTGCTGCAGATGACTCCCTCATCTGTCGTGTTCAGCGTCATCCCTACAGTCTTAGATACGGGAGCAGCTCTATGACCAGGACACATTGGATAGACTGAAGTATCTTGATCTGGGTGAAGTCGATCGCAAAACGCAAAAGTGGAAACCATGCAAAGCATTCCGTGCTGGCAGATGGCAATATCCAGCTCAACTCAACGAGCATTTCATCCCAACTGTTCCACGACTGTTTGTTGCAATGCAAGCTTGCACTAATGTGCAATTCTGCGACTGCAAATTTCAGGTTGCTTATCTGGCGAAGTATGCAGCTGGCGTTGACGAAAAAGCACAGGTCTCATTTACCCACACACCAAATGTTCCTCACACCATTGATGCTCATGTTCACTCACTCGTGAGCCAGAAAATTCCTGCCCAGGCACTGAAGTCATCGAAAAAGCACTCAACTTCGTTAGCACGAGAAATTTCCCTCACTGAAATGATTTGGTTCTGCGTTGGCCTACCGTATGTGACATATCCAACGGATATGACACATGTATCAACCATGCCACCTGAGTACCGCTATGCAATTGTCAAACATCAGGGACCGATTACACGAGTTGCTGGTGGTGGTGGCCAGCTGCTACCTGTTGAGGCTCGGCATGGTTTGTTTGAATGGCAAAGGTTTACACACACTCAAGAACTCACCATGCAAGACTATGCCAGAGGGACATACTATATTGACGCAACCGCAGGATTTTCACTCCGCCCCCCAGAGCTGCTGATCTTTGACAATGTGGAACATTATGTGAAATGGTTTACTTTTAAATCCTTGTCACGTCATCAACAATACGTTGCTGATGACAATCTCGATGCTTGTTTGTGGATCGATGGTGCTTGTCGGCGAATTAAACTACGCCATGCACATGTCTCAGATGCTTGCCAGTATGTCATTGGTTTGTTGGCCGACCCTGATGTTGGCAACACTGAGCAGGCTGAACACGTACACAATGCGATATTTCACCGGCTTGAAGACGAACACAATACCCACCAAGACAAAGATGACTACTCAGAGCTATACCTTCGATTTTTCGACGTGTCAAAAACCAAGAGAAATGTTGTTGTATTTAAACAAGTCACCCCAACAGTGTTTTCTCGCTTTCTCATTCATCTGATGTTGTCCATGGAGAACTTTGTTACCGAGATTGATTTGTACAGTTCGCCGACAATGCTTCAAGCGTTTCAGAAGTGTCGCCTCATTAGCCAAGACCATCCGACAGAACAAGACGTGAAGCGCCTTGCACGCAAGTACGTCGAAGAACAGCTACAGTGGCTCTCTACAGGCACTCGTCGATTCTTTCAACTGCTGCAGGCTTTAGTTAAAGGCTTACAGCGCTTTCTTCTTGAAGGACAACTCGTGTATGACTCATTACCTCTATATCTGCAGTGTGCCATGGAGGAAAACGCAACTGAAGAGGTTGCAAAGTTGCAACAGATACGACGGTATTTGTAAATATATCACTATAGGCGTGTTCACACACAAGAAAAACCGCGATGCTCATCCCGCTAATATACCGAGATAATTGTGTCGTTGTTCACACAGGCGGAAATATCTCGCTAATCGCCGAGCGGGATAATTCTATTAATCGAACTGCGCATGCTCACTGCCGGAATGATGCTCACTGCGCATCACTGCTCACTCGCTTGGAATGATGGGATAGAAAATACCGGGATTATTTGCGCGAGCGTTCACACACGCAAATAATCGCGCTAATTCCAAATAATCGCAGTCGGAAGTGCGATTTGGAGCGCGATGCTGATCGCGATATTTAGTGAGATATTTGCGTTCACACTTGTAAAAATCTCGGTATTTCGATCGCGATGCAAAAACCGGGATTTGCATCCCGCTAATTCGCGCCAGTGTGAACGCATCTATTGTAATGTCTTACCAGTGTAATCAGTTATCGGGTAGTACATGACTTATTGCTTTGTGACCTTATTTCATCAGTCAGAGTTCATCGCGATTTGTTTAAAAATGACAGATTACTAATTTTAATAACAGATTATTATATTTTGGAGAATAAAATGTCAATGCCATTCTAGGAATATATAAATAATTGGTTACGACGGTACTAGAACCAGTTAGAATGTCAAATGCAATGCCTATACATCTCATTTTTCATAGATGACAAGACAATATCATGATCATTTTGTGGATTGAAGCAATAACTGTGAATTTAATTAATTTTGCAAAACTGTTATTGTTGATATAATTAAGGATTGTACTTTAAGTAGAAAAAAATAAAATATTCTTTTATACCAGTAAGTACTAAGTAGCTATTTTACATACAAATAACTACCCCGAAAACACGTTACACAATCAATCAATAGGCCTAGGATTATAAATTTAAAATAAATTTAAAAATAATGCATAGTAAATATCTCTTGCTGTTTAACCCATTCACGCCCCATGCTAACGTTAATTTGCACCTTTTAATTATATATAGAATGAGCACCTATAACATGTTAAACGTTAACTAGTAATACTAATGTAGTAATAATACAGTGCCAGTGATAGTATTACTATTACTTTATTACTATTAGTAATAGTATAGTTACCTCTTCAACTGTACGATGTACAGGAGCAATAGCATTAACAGACGATTGCACGTTTTGCCATGCCCTTTTCTTCATAACGGCGGTTACATCATTTGAAAAGGATGAAAACAATACACCTCGCCTATGCGATATCTCCTCAAGTAACACAGTAATTTCATCTTCGACAAAATTCCTCTTTCTTTTCTTCGATGGGCTCGCCATGTTTACATACAAGAGAGGCGTCGCCGCGTCAGTCTTGTTGCTATGCTGTGTGTCGCACAGTGGGATTGGTTTCTGCATGTTTCTGCTAGACA